GCACCAACCCTGAGATAAACTGCGAAGACAGCGATTGTCGAACTTTAGATACGTCAATGTTATGGACAAGGTTTCCCAACCGTACAAAAGGGTTGAACGAACGGCTGCATTGTTAACTCTGCTTTTCAAGGCGAGAGTAATATCGCGCCGGCATCACAATTGACGGAGATTGGCAAAAGCGCCTCGAGCTTTTGCTATCGGGTTTGTGATCTCACCTTCCTTTCTATTGATGCTGATATAGCTGCCGAAATACTTGAATTTCTCGACGACTTCTGACTGATCCCTACTAAGGGTCAGCGCACGGTTGGGTCCCTGCCAATCTTGGAGAAGGACTTTGCATTTAGAGGGTGCAAATCACAGCTCAAAACGACTGACAACCAGTGCTGATTTGTCCACTGCCACTTGGTAAGTTGGAAAACTGTCACAGATGAGGGCTAGGTCGTCGGTGTACTCCAACTTTAGAAGTAATTCATCTGGAGGCGGCTCCACACCGTGTAGCTCGTGTCCAGTGAACGCCGTTTCCATGAATTCATCAGTGGTGAAGTTAAAAAGGAAAGATGGCAGTAGGCAACCTTGTCCCACACCGCTGGAGATATTGAAAGGTGGCTTCAGTTTGCCATAAACCCTCACTCGGCCCGAACTATGCGTGTATGGCGTTCTCATTATCTTTAGATCATTTTCGGTCACATCGATCCACCGAAGCAACTGCACTTTTGACATCGAGGAACATGACTACGTTGGGTCTCTAGTGAATATGGCGGTGCTTCAACAACTAACGTAAAGTAAACACATGGTCAATGCAGCCTCCATTTCCACGAAACCTGGTGTGGTCCTCGCGAATCTAATTTTCACGAGTGCCATCAAGTCTAGTAGGAATGGCAGAGTGAGTACCTTAGAGGCAATCGAGATCAGGATGTTTCCTCTATGATCGCTTCATTCCGAACTTGAGCGTCACGTGAAAACTGGGACTATAACGGAGCACCTCCAGTCTGTTATGACAGTTTCCTGCTCTTGAAGCTTCACAAGCGGGTTGTGTAAATTATCTACGGGAGCAGGTCCCCCTAGTTTCATCAGGGTTGGAGGATGTCTATCTGCTGCTACGGTCTCACTCGTTTTCAACAGTTACTCTCACGTTCTACCTCTGTGAGTGAGGGCAGATCCCAGGGAGAAGGGCGATTGATGACTGATAAGGTGGCTATTAACTCTTATTAATCAAACTGCTTTTCATAGTGTTCGGCTCAACGTTCCGCATGGTTTGACAAACTGGACGGACTGTCCATTCTCTTCGCATATAACCTCGCAAACACCAGATGTGCCTGTTTTTGGGTATCAGACTCGATACATTACGACGGTTATCAACACTGCGACTGTTTGCATCTCCCATGCACATCGAAGCCACCTTCCTTCTCGGTCTTCTTAAGGACTGGCACGCAGTTTCGCCCTGAGGTCCTTGCAAATCTCGTTGTGTTCGCTTCTAGCCGGAATATGTCGGCAAGCATCCGAGGTTTTAGACACTGCGCTGAGACCCAATGTCCAGGTTGACAATTTGATTTGCCACACGTAGACATGCCTGCTGCTAATAACGTTTGGGAAATCTGCTACCAGTGATCTTAACTTGTGTTAAGTGAGCGTTCATTCAGTTCGGATATCAGCGTACTTTGACACGCGTTTAGTACATCTGTCGTCCCGTGGCCTTAAGGATCACAAGCTTGCCTTGTAGTCTGAGGTCGCGGGTTCGAGCCTGCGTAGGGTACCGGGCAACTCTCGTAATACCCGTAGTCCATGCGTGTCTAGTGGTGGCTGCCCGGCAGCGAATCGCCGTCACTGAGTACCAACGTACTGCTGATACCTGGCTTCGCCAGTTAACTAGTGTCTATGCGCTCACAGCGACGTTGCGAATGTCCGCCGAAACCCACCCACACATCGGCACAGACAACTGCGTGGTCGGAGTCCATGTTCATGCTACAAATCGAGTGATAGTTTTGTGCACAACCTCTCGCACGGTAACTGATCGCGATGTGATCGATTTGTGTCCATGGCTAATCATCACCTTGTCACTTTGGTAGGTGCTGTGTGTCGGAAACTAGTGCTTGCGGGAAATGGACGAACATCTTCGCACTGGTTAGCAACCGCCCACCGTTATCATTACGAGAGCGTACACTATGTTGGCTGCTCAGATGTAGCTCATCATTGAACAGTTTTTCAACTTAGGCGTTCAGATCACCAGCCAGCACCCGTACTTTTATTGTAACGAAAGTGCGCGTTAAGTCATATTTCACCGAATCCGGGCTAGGGTACGTGGGCGCGTATACAGCAATGACTACCAGGCGCGGTTCGTTCCCTCGCAACTTCGGAGCTGTTGGCTGGGATCTATTCGATCAGGACAGCTTCACTCCGGGAGCTCAGAGCAATACCCAAATTGGTTTGACCAGCATTCGTAGCTGCATCATCTCCGGACAAACGCATTGCGAAAGTGCCGCCAGTGTGCAGGTGGGGGATCGCAGGATAAGTACATCGCTCGAATCTTGCAGGCGAGTTTACGACAAACAGCAAGTATCGATCGATAGGGTCTCCAATTTTCGGGCATGTGTTGTCTGTTGGCAAATCTGTAACAGAGTGTGCACGTTGAGGCATACCAGCCTTAGCGAGAATCGAGGGCTCCAAAGAGAAACGGATGAACTGACGTTGTCCACTTGTTTGGACAAGGGTTTGTCGATTAGACCTGAGCGACGCCCTACAATTACTTGTGAGTGGTAACTATAAACTAAACGATTATTGAATCAAGATGGGGGAAAGGCCAAGAATTACGGGTTGAAAACTGGGGGATAAAAGTGAACTTGGAGCGGGACGACAGTGATGAAGTGCGGTAAATAAGAAGACGAGACACTTCGAGCAATATAATCTTGACGCATTCATCCTGCTCGATGCAGCAGATAGGGGGCTGTTCAGTATCATCTGCGATGGCCAGCGTACCAAGAAATTGTTTGAGGAAAGGTTCATTGTATTATATTACCTTGGTAGGATTCTGTCAGTTTGCCCATTCCTAGACAGGCGAACGATAAGGGTTATCAACCAAATTGTTTAGTTAACAAACCTGTTGGCGATGCAGCGTATTTGACACAGAGTCCGTTTTATGGAGTAAGGGACCATCCTCACTCCAAGACCCAACCTGGTGGATCAGGAGACGGAGTTTGTCTGGACTCTATCGATTGACCAATCTGGTGCGAGTGGCTCTGAAGGCACCACCCAGCCTAGGTCACTGGCTCATTTAAGCACGCAAATCATCACAACACATTAAGGTTCAGTCTCAATTCCATGAGCTGATTCTTGTTGTGATTGGCGTGCCTCATGGTACACACTTTGACCGGTCCACAGACAGCAACTGCCCGAACATTCGAGGCCCTCTCGATCAATATCTGCTGCTTATCTGAAACGCGCCTCATAAATTCGAGCTGTGTTCAACTTACGATCCCTTCCGTCTAACCCTAACGGTATTTTTGCAACGCGCCTACCGGAGTTAACGCAGCTTCAGATCCCGATCATGCTGGTGTGGGTATTGCCTGAGTCTAGTCTGTAGCTTCTCTTGTTGACTGGATCAGTATCCAGCTGTAAGAGATCAGATTAACAAACTTGTCTAAACATTCAAACTCATGCGGAACCTTTGTTGACTACGTCCCCACAAACTGTAGCACTTACGCCCATCTCCGGTCCCTGGTCTAAAAGATCACAGACCTGTCTTGTAATCCGAGGACATGAGTTCGAGCCTGGGTAGGAAACCGAGCAACCGTCACAGTGACCTTATCTCACGCGCGACTGGTGGTGCTTTCGCGGCTGCAAAGCGTCAGTATTTCGTACTGGTCTACTGCTGTTATCTATCTGTCCATCTATTGTCAATTGAACTATCTCCGTCACAGAAGTACAAATACCTTAGTTCTGGTTAGCGATCTGAACGTTCAACTTGTACCTTGATGAACTACATCTAGGCGGCCATGCACTCTCGTAATCACGACGGTGAGCGATTACTACACTAATGTGAAGATGCGCGTTTATTTTTCGCGAACACTAATTTCCAAAACAGCACTCGCCGCAGGATTACACGGCGCCTACCAGCCATGCACGCAATCAGTTATCGGTGATGAGGTTGCGCTCAAATCTATCGTTCACCTTAAAGCACAAGTACGGACTCGGTTAGAAGCCGGTGTCGACGCTGTGAGCGTCTAGACACCTCCCATTTAGTGAAAGCAGATGTTTTGAATGCGCATCAATGTCGATGAGAGAAATTCGTTCAGTAAATAGCGTCGGACAGGCGGTGATATGCTTCAGATTTAACTTCCTCGTTGTCTAGTCCGGCGGTGCGACTGTATGTCTACTGGCACGGTAGGCGCGATATATTAATCTTCCCTGTGTCACCATGATTCACTACCTGGCCTTTTGCAGATGGAGACCATTATCTACACCCATTTGAAATTATCACACTTTTTCTCGCCTACTGAGACACATTTGGCCTTTGGTGTATTTGACGTGAAATACATTTTTATTTGTAGGCGTTGTTGAACTCCCCGAGTCTGTTTGTCCAGACAAATCTATGCGAAAGCAGTTACTTAGCAGTGACAAGCTCCATTATTATAAAGTAAGTATTTCTATATCTGCAAACAATCTAGAGATTGCAGGCACCCGTTGTTGTCAATCATGGTGTCACACACTTCTTTCCAACTCAATGAATTCCTTACGTGCTCCACTCTTCCCTATTCCTCTAAGTTGTGTTTCACTACTTTTCCACTAATCTACATCCCATTTCTGTCACTACTTCGATTAGTGACGTCCACCTGCGCCACTCCTACCCATTAGTATTGGCGTCATAATTTTGGGATGCTGATGTTCAGTTCATGCTTTTGGGTTACCACTTTGTGCGTATTTTGCTCTCATGTTGACTATATAGGTACTACCGAGCAGCCAAAAAGGGCATTTCATCTGGTCACTTTCGCTTTCTTCGTTTCAAGGATGTGCGCGATGTTCATATCTCCCAAGTCCACACTCTTCTGGCTGCTTGGAGCAAGAGCCTACAAAGCACACAGGCAGAACTGCAACAGTCAAGCAATCTCGTGCTAAGCTCGCCATCTTTTCCAGGATCGCTGAGCGGCTCTTGCTCACTGAAACAATTGAATACGGAATTTCGTCCTTTACTTGAAAAGCGAAGGGAACTTACTTTCCTTTCTCTGGTTCTCGAACATATCATGGAAGTGATGACTCGCCGTGAAAGAGTCGAGGATCTCAGAGCCGCCCAGACCATTTTGTTGCGTTCCGGCAGCGGGGGTCGCCTGGCTTCGGTTAGCAACAAAGACACTTCCAACAACGAATCGGATCAGTCTTCCAACAGCATCACCACCTTAGCACCGGGCGCTGGTGGATCATGTGGAACTGATGCTGATTCACTCACTTCTATGCCGGTCCGTCTAATTATTGAGTTGTTCAGTACCCAGTAAGTTTGGTGTCAGGATTCTCATCGTTTATCATTTGTGGACATCTATGTGCTTCCCAAACTTTTCCTGCCAATTGTTTTAGGTTTCATTACCATTTTGCATGTACTTGTTTTCTAGCCATGCACATTCCAGCGTCTTTGCATAGCAAACTTTCCCATCATCTCACATCGCTTTGTTGCCTTTACTTACTAGTCATACTGTATTTGAGCATCCTCTACCGATCCAACTTCGCATGCCTGAATAAATTTAGGGATATTCAGACTGTAAACCTATACGGTGAGCAGCGATAATATAGCAGGACAGGAAATCAATCTCACCACCCTTATCGATTGGGGCACAAGAGGGCCAGTTCAGTGAATCTGGGTAACATTCAGAAATTCCTCAATTAGGTGCATCCACCGGGGCTGCGTGGTCTGAGGATGCCACATCCTCTCTGTAGGCAATCCTTGACGGCAACTGTTATGTTAGTCCGTTGCCGAATTTGTGAATTACTTCAGTGTACTCGAGTTATGATTGTTCTTCACTAAATCTAATTACATTCTCTGTTACTTTTGGTTTCGTAGGTGCATCCATCCAAGCTGTTCTTGAGGTGCTTTGTCTGAAGCAAATGCTTGATGCCTAGCGAGTTTGGCTATCTTTATCTGATGCAGTAGATATTGTTACTCCGAACAGTGACCTGGTCGCATCGTTTCGCTATCTCAAGTATATTTGCCTTAACGTCCGTCGACTACGCGATTCCTTAAATCCTCTTATGGTATTTTTTGTCGCTCACATAGACAGTGGAGTTTCTTCCTCGGTCGAATCCTTTCGTTTTGATTGTCTTCTATCGGCATCTGAGCAGCAACAACTTTTTTTATTAGTTAGTATACCGTTTCAGCTTATTATCATCTGTCCAGAGCCTTTTTCGTATCCTTTGGATTCCACTTGTGTTACTACGGAACTTTGCATCTGTTTAATGGCTTATACGTTTCATTTCTTATCTTATCACACTTCTCCCACCAATAGCTGCTTTTGTAGTGATTTTCTTTTCTTTTCCCCTTCTTTTCAGCCACGGAGCGCGTCTACTCGATGGGCTCCGTCTAGCTTCTCTGGCCTCTGTGACTCACGACGGTTTGGGAGATGAGGTGTACTCCGCCGTGCATAGCACATTTCTTCATGCGATCGGTCAGGCTGCGTTCCCTATGCTTTTCGCCTTCCGATGTCTCCGAATTTTATCACCTTATACTTCTGCTAAACATTCACCCGACAGAGAGAGGCATTCCGTCCATAGTCTTTCTTCTGCAGTCTCTCGTCTCACTTTATTGTCTCGACGAAAGTCCTTATACAAGTGAGTAAATTAACGCGTCACTGTCAAAATTGCCTAGTTTATTTTGTCATAATGGTGCTCCAGTTATCTTGTATCACCCTGGAACAAACTTTTCATAGAATCATGTAGCAAATATCTGCTCCTGTTCGCGCGTTTATTCATATCGATACTTTGGAGTCAAATACTTGCAGCTATCTCGAATCGGGATGATATGCTTCTGGCTCATGGGAACTTAAGGAAGCGGATGTAAATTGTGCCGGCACAATTCAGAAAGTGTATGCGGCAACTGACGTTTGCACAACTGACCAAATCACGTGGGGTTGTCTTGTGGGGAGATTCTCCAGGTAGAGTTTTTGTCCTACGGTTGTTACTGAGCAGTCTCACTGCTTCACTACGCGGACACACCGGGTCATTAATCGGGTTGGACGATAGCCGTTCATTAACTCTTCTATTTCTCGTAGTTGTTTTAATAATTTTTTAACCGAAATTGAATGTATCCAATAATCTCACGTCACGTCACAATAATAATACTACTAATAATAATGTTAAAGACAGTTCATCGGGAATAAGGAACTAATTGGAATACACATGTAATTTCAAGTTTATTGGCACAAATGCGGCTGTCCACTGGGGTCCATAATACAGGATGGACCTTTGCACTCCTGCCAAAAGCAACTCTGGTGCCGTAACTGCCGCATGCGATAGAATCGGGCTCATCGACAACGTAAGGTGTATACTCTGCCATTAGAATCCGGACATTTTAAACGCAGATGTGTCGCGACTTCAACTCGGAGGGAGTGCAAATCCACGATGATTATCCTCTTCTGAGCGACCTGACAATGTGTATGGACGTTGAAAGACCCGATGTCAGCACGTTGGGTCTGAATTAAGCGCGATCTCATCGTTAGTGTGGCTGACGAAGCATTTGTAGTCTGTATTTGTTTGTAAGGATACCTGAACAGCAGATTAAACGTACGAAGGAACTAAGGCGGTTCATAACGGTGGATTTTCAATTAGATGATACACCAAAGTGTCAGCCCATAACCTAAGGGTCACCGACTCGAATCTGCGTAGGTGCGAGTGACTTCGCAGTATTCCTAGCCCACACACTACTGGTTTTGGTCGGGTGACATCGAGGCGTCCGTGCGCAGCACTGGTAGGCTGCTGATGCTTTCTGCTTCTCCTTTATTGATACCCTCCGTGGAGTGTGAGGTGTGCAACCACCGGCTTTCAACTTAATGATATACTCCACAGTGCAGCAGGATAATTGGCGGTTTGTTTGGAGTTCTCCACTCGGAACCTTTGATTTAACAGTCTGTAACCCACTAAACCCTTGGGAAAATCTTCCACTCGGTGATTTTACTTTAAAACCACGTTGGGTTATACTTGCGACCGACCACAAACAGCCTGAATGGGTGTGGACCAAAAAAATCGTATCAGATGACATGTCGGCGGTCACAGCCCCCTTAGTCTTGGTAGACTGTGCCTTGTTGATCAAGAAACGCCTTGGAATTGGCGATAACAGGCCATTGAGCAAGGAAAGTGCTCTCCCACTGTCTGCGACAACCCGTGACGCCTGCGCTCCGTGTAAACCGAGCTGAGCAAATCTCTAACTTTTCTCTCTCATAACTAGGATTTGACTTCCTTTCATTTAAACGACCCTGTTCATGGCATTAAGACGCGGTGAATCCAGTTACCACGGCTTGCATTGCCAGAATAACAATAAATAACGCTAGTGAAGAAAATAAGTAGGACGTAAACAGCATAGAGAAAAATGGGTTTTAGAAAAGTGCTAGGACGAATCGAGATGGTGAATTGACGTCTATATGCGAGAAATCAGATGCCGTAGCACCACTTGTTCCTTGACTGTGACCTGTTCTATAGGGTCTCCAAACACTTCTGTGTCCACCTTGAGATTTCTATTCACGGAGACGTCACACACTATCCTGACAACGTCTTTCGGCCAATTTTTTCAAGACTATGCCAAGTCATCGAGCAGCCACCACGCGGTTTAGCCCAGCTCGCTACAGCGACTGCGCTGCCATTTGAAAATCGCCATCTTCTCCTCGAACTCTTATTTGGAAGGTGCCGAGCAGTGGTTTACCTGATCGCTGCTCATTTACCTGCCCTCTGAGTAGTTGTGAAGGCATTTGGTAGGTACCACTCATCGTAACTCGGGGGGTCACGGGGCGCGCAGATAATCATTAAGATCCAATCTCGTCAACATGGTTTTATTTATCCTTTATAGTGGTCTTTGTTGGTGCTCTTGTGTTTTACTATCGTCTTTCCTTTGTTACTCGAATGTTTAATCTCCAACTATTTGTTTTTGTTAAATAACCTAGCCCTCTTTTCTCAATCTTGCACTCCGGATGAACTTGACGCGCAGCATATGTTCCAGTCCAGGCCGAGTTCGTAGCCACTGTGACTGCCATTGCTCACAGCGCATATTAGTCTATTGGGGAAAGCGTTAGCTGACCGTCATGAGGCCCGTAATATAAAATCCCAGTCTGACTGTCCCCGAGAAGTGCAAGCGAAGCCAAAGCCAGTTGTAGAACACACTTTGGAGAGTTAATACCACCACAGATATCCCTATTTCTGATACGGGTCACTTGATAGAATTGGATAAATTTACTTCAGAGTGATTTTCGTTCCACATTAGTGTCACAGCATGGACGCACTGCGGGTAATCCAAAGCAAAATGCAGAATCGTTTATTTTTTTCATCGTTAATTACCACAGAATATTGGGCTGCCGGGCACTGACAGCCACTCCTCAATATGGCTTGGTTTTCGCTCACTACTGTCTTAGCTTGCGCGTTCATCTCTGTTGTGAGCACGAGCACTTGGTGTTCTATTTGTCCATCTTTTTCGAAGTCGCCTTCATCACCTCCTCCACCTGAGCCATGCTGGTCAGACAAACAGGCGGTTCGATCAAGGGCCAATATCTCCCACTTACGTTTTCTCTGGTGAACACTGCCCCATCGTAGTACGCTTGGCTGAGTCAATTTGGGCCACCTACGCGCATTTCACCCGAGATCCTGGCCAATCAACTCGATACTTAGACGGATCCCAGTCAAAAAGCTGCAGCCCCGATGACCCCGAACTTATCAGTAGAGAAAATATTGTGCAATCTCTAAAGCACCTTGGTATGACAGCCGATGGTAAGTCCTGCATCCTTTCCAGATATCGATCTACAACTTTTAGTGTGCTCACGTTGCAACAGTTTTACAGTTGCCGACATACGTTCCCTTTTTTGTCGCGACCAGGAGTTGTAATTGCTTCCTGATCGATAATCGTCCATGTGGTTGGTGTATCCAACCATAGAGACTGTTAACTAGTCATCGCCTCTTCCTCCTCTCTGAGTGGCATTGTTATTTCAGGATGTGTTTGGCTCCTTGTCCTTTGCAGTACTAAAGGCGTATGAACCACTTATTTGGTCACCGACTCACACCGGGTTGTGACGCCCTCATATCTCACTTGATCAAACGCTCGGAGTAGGGCCCCCTACGACAACCCTCTACTTCGGCTTGGGAAACCGGGTAGTATCATGCTCACTGACGGATCATGAATGGATTATGCTGCTGCTTCCACTCCTGCTATGTCTGCTGGCTCTACGGTTTTCACTGCGCAACCTCTACTTAAACATCGACCCACCTGCCTTACTTCAACTACACTGGTGTCCTTCCAGGTCACTATCAACAGCAGCTCACTGGCCGCACCTGACGGAAGCCAGAGTCGAACGTTTGCTGTTCGATGCCCGGCAGTCACGGCTTTCACACAGTCCACTGAAGCCCCACTTTTTATTCGACTTTGTGCGCTGATGACCTAGTCTTGCTAGCTGGCGGTCCACAGACCCTCCAACTTGCATTTAACCGTTAGGGGATTGAAGCATCAAAGTATGGGATTGCCTTTTCCACATTCAAGTATAAAACTTTTTCAAGATTGGTAGATACCTGTACCTGCACTCACTCTTGGTGGTGAGACACTTGAGGTTGTGGAGACTTTTGTCCACCTGGGAAGCTGCATCACTGCCGGTGTAGCTGTTAAAGACGGAATTTCAATACATATCCCAAGGGCTTGCCTCACTTTCTCCGGACTGAGACAGTTGTGACGCCGCCATGACACCTGTTTCCCCATCAAGTGGTGGGTTCATTGTGCGATTGTACGCGCTGTACTGCTGTACGGTTGCGAGACAGCCTGTTCGTACCTTAGACCAACGCCGGTTATCTGTCTTCCATCACCGTTACTTGCGATCCATTGCCTATCTGTGATGGCTGCATCACGTTAACCAACGTCGAAATTAAACAGCCTGCCTTTGTTGGAGGCAGCCACTTGCTCGAAGAGCTCCTATCCCTGCCTCAGCTGCGGTGGCTTGGACACGTATTGCGTATGCCCGTTCATCGTCTTTCGCTTCCGCCCTTGATCGCAATCGCTGGACAGGGTTGGAGGAGGCGGCGCGGTGAACAACCTACAACTTGGAGATGCAGCATGAGAAAGCTAACGAAACCGCTGGCCTCGGTCGGTTGTTCTCTACACATTGGTTTCAATTTCCGAGTTACGGAGTATCGCTTGTTGGATACCCTGGAAGTCATGGCCCAGGGCCGACATCAATGGCGGACCTCTCTGCGTGTTTCCAAAATTCCTTTTCTCTTCCCTATCCAAATAAGCTATTTATAAAAGAATTCAAAAACGGATTGAATATCCGACAAAAGCGTTGCGTGTTTTTTTCTTATCGCAATCCTGTTTTTCTATTCCGTGATGATTCCGATGGCACAGTATTGGTACTACATACACTGATATATATATATATATATATATATATATATATATATATATATATATGGTTGGCGACATCCGGTTTACGGATTTGCCTGTCACGGTGGCCAGCTAAAGGACGCCTGCACCTACTGAGGGACCATGGACGGCTTGCGCTACACCACTCACAGCTCCAACCACACACCCCATATCCAGTGTATACCCGAAGGAATAAGACCGGGAGGCATGTGGATGGGAGCCACGTTTCATCAACGGAGCCGGCCCACACTCCTTCACAGGCAAACACAAGCACACTGTATTTGGGGAACCAAGCGCATACAAAGCGGTGGCTAGACCGTAGTCCGCTCCACACTGAGTGCATGGAACCGCTCTTCGAACCTAGCACGGCCCGAAGGACCGTGCACCCCGTCCCCTCCATCAACGACAAACTGTCTCCTGGAGCCAGTATGAACGACGTAGTGGGTAAAAACCAGGTAGGCACCTTGTCAACATGCACATCAATCGCAGCCACACCGGAGATATCAAGCAACAGCCATTCACTTGAAACAACAAGATAAAATAAATCCAATAATGCATACCGCTACGGTGGCATAACTCTTCGCTAAATTAGCATTAGGAGTAAGTTGGTTAGCAACGAATCCGCGATAAGTAAAAAATGTCCCCAAATTACATAAAATTCTACAAACGCAGCAAAGTTACCGAATTTAAGCGCAATTAGCGTAAGCAACATGGTCAGTTAATGGATTATTCAGGTAGGCAGAACAAACCAAACAAGGTGGAATAAAATTTATCCAGCTTAAAAAGACCTAGTTTAAGTGTAAGTTGGTTTAGCCCAACTGCAGTGAAGAAGCATCATAAATGCAATGTCAGCCTCAGCATGGGGCACCCCATATATATATATATATATATATATATATATATATATATATATATATATATATATATATATATATATATATATATATATGATGGATCGGAAATGTCCTCCTTCAGTGGCGGCTTCAGGTTCGGATTCGGGACACATTTTCTGATCCTATTGATGCGGACCGCGGTGTTCCACACGGATCATTGTTGGTACCGCAGTTATTCTTGGTCTTCATTAAAGACCTTGCGCGTGTCATCGAGTCAAATTTCCTGCTTTTTACGGGTGACATCAAGATATGGCGAGCGATCGGTAGTCAGGAAGATCACGATCTGCTGCAACGGGACTTAGACCGTGCTTGTGAATAGTCAAAGGCAAACGTACTTCCATTTAACTCGAACAAGTGCAAAACTGTGCCTGTCCGCCGCGAGCCCACTAAGGCATATATGTTCGAAGCCATCTTGAAGTTCGCCTCAAAGGAGTGCGATCTTAGGGTGGTGATGCAAGACGACCTCGGCTGTTCGGCGCAGTCTTTGAAGGCGTCCAAAACCGCGAACCAACAACTTGCTTTCATACGGAGGGCGTTCGCGCGGTTGGACCACTCCATCGTACCCACATACTAATTGCGTATATGCGGTCCCACTTAGAGTACGCGATTCAGGCCTGGTAAAGCTGGTTAGACGCGATCTGGTTGCTCTAGAGACCTCACGAGTACGGACAACGCAAAATGTGAAAGGTTTGTTTTAACTACCATTTCATCTTCGACTGAAGACCTTAGAAGTGTACATCGGAAATTATCGCTGTGTACCAGATTTCGAAAAACCCGTAACACATGTCGCCACTTCCTGAAACTTAGCCGCAACACAAAATTGAGGGGTCGCGCAGCTGAAGCTGGCCATCCAATACAGTCAGCTGAAATGCCGACGGAATTATTTTTCTCTTATAATTTGTCGGCCGCGTAACGCTCTTTCGACTTTTGTCATTTCTGCGCCCACGCTACCCACTTTAAAAAAACGACTCGACATTGCGTTACACCGTATGCATTACCTGAGTTGTTTGCTTTTTATCGAGTGACGACAAGACGCAGAAAAACATTGTGCTCATCATCCCCTACTAAGTCGTGGTAGACATGTATGCTTTTGTGTTAACCTAGGTAATATGGTGCTCCGCGTAGGGGTGGGCGTCCTCGCGGTATACTCAGCCCGCGCGCGACTGGTGGTGGTCGCGCGGCAGCGAAGCGCCGTTACGGCGTATAAGCTGACACCTTTCTTTTCTTTCTTAGGTAATATGGTGAGTCCACAAATGCCTTTTTCTCTTTCGTGTCTTTTTTCACTTACCTAGTTGTCACAGACCATCCCGCGGGACCTATCAAGCTTTGGCTCTTCAACCATACTATACCGTTGTTGCATTGTTTCTTGATATTTTCGAGTTTTCACATCCTTTTATCCTGTGGCGGCATTCTAACGCTCATCCCCGCTGCACCTAACTGTAATTATCTGTATTAAAGTAGTTATATGTCATTACACATGACTCCTCTTTCTTGCACCACTGGACTAACATATCACGTTTATTTCATATTTCAAAACAGATATCCACTTCTATGGTGTTTCGCAGCACAACACTGCCTGTTGATTTATTTTAAATTCTTTGTAGTATAAACACATTGTACAAAGTGAGATGTGAAGTATTTTTTGTTCGACAGGATCTGTTCATCATTAGCACCCTCGCCTGGGAGTTAGCTACTGTCGCAACACGACAACGACAGTGTTAGTTTTCTTTCGACATGCGAACCGCGAATCTATCATATATTGTTTCCTTTTATTTATTCTGCATCCGACGTTGCATTGCTATCTATAACCCACTTATTCTGTTTGGAGTGTTCTCATATCCCGTTTTCTCATGTATCATGTTTACTTTACGTTGAAGGTTCTTTGGCTACTATTTGATCAATATTTCTCTGTAGGTCTAGTGTATAAGAAACGTCTTATAGCCGTCTTCGGTTTTGCGATGGTAGAGATACGAGACCACTGGGGTGTTATCTAATTGCATTCAAAATGTTGCTTATTTCGTCATGTAATCGCCAAACGCCATCCCGCCGAGTAAGCAGTGTCATCTGTGTATTTGTATCTCAGCTTCCTAGTCACGTCTCCTCAAAATATATGCTGTTTGGCTCCACGATGTACTCTCTTGTGACAATCACGGCCTCACAGTATTCCGCACAGACCTAGTTAACTTAATGGTCTCTGTCCTGCATGAAACAGTCGTTTGTTGCTTGGAACCAAACATTGCTAACAGTTCGTAGAGTAGGGCCACTCATTACCTTGTATGGCGTCCGTAGATGTGAGAGTTCTCTGCTCCTTATCTTCATGTCACTGCACTATGTACAGTCGGTCGTATTGTTTTCCTTTCAGCCGCTTCCAGACTTGGTTTGGTCAGCCTCTCTGAGGAATCATCCACGGGTTCAGACGTTGTGAATGGACGCGGGTGTAACCGACATCTTCCAAGAGATTACATTCCATCGCGACCTGGTAAACAACCAGTAGTGGTTGTTTTTCCTGGCGGCTGTACCTACAGTGAGGTGGCCGCTCTTCGCTTTGCCGCCGCACGAAGACGTTGGCAATTGTTGATTGCAACTTCTTATATTCTTTCCTCGCGTAATTTCCTGCAGTGCACCGGTCAAGAAGTTATGAAAATAAATTGACTTTTGTCTTTTAGTTCACATCCGTTTCTCTAGCCGTTCCACCTTTAAAACACCTGTCCTGACTCAAAAGCACCCATTTACTCGGTCCTGAAGTTTTCATCCTTCCTTACCCATGCGCATGATCGGCTCCTAGCGTGGTTAGCTCAAGAAAAATCATTTTCACTTGTACATAGGCACCTGATGTGGACTAACCCTAGGCCGCTCCAGTTTAGTCTGCGCATCATGACACCTCATTTCGAAGCATTTAAGCATATACATATACATATCCGGAGTAAGACTAGGAGACATGTAGATGGGCGCTGCGATTGATCCGGAGCCTGCCCGCACTCCTTTAACATGCACATCATTCACTCATTTGACGAACAGGGGACACATGCATACCAAACGTACACAGAGTGATGACTGAGCCCTAACCCTTTCCACACTGGATGGAACCACTCATTTCGCCAGGCACCGTCACAAAGATTGTGAACCTCGTCTCTCCCAGCAACGACTACATGTCTCCTGGAGCCGGTATTATCGAGGTGGCGGATTTCGACATGTATGCACCTCGCCATTACTCGCATCAAGCGCAGCCACACTGGGGAAATCGATCAACAAACACTTACAATGAATGAAAATAAAGACAGTTCATCTGCAAAGACGATGTGATACACGTATTATGCTGGGTTAGTAAATGGAATTGGAAGCAGCGTACTAGACATGTGCTACAGCACCAGATGCATGATATCGACAGACCGGGCTGCGTCAGCATCTGGCGCTTACGAGACCGGAATTTCTTCCTATTGCAACAGTCCTTTCTGGTGTGCGGAAGCAATCACATTCTTGATGTGATCACATTGGCTGTGACCCACTGTCATTGCTTCCAAACACCTAGTGCCAAAATCAGTTCATGATAAACTCACCCTACTCAACTCCTTTTAACGTAACCTCGGTTTGCCCACGTTCCGCTTCTCAGTACTAAGCTGGCCATAGGATAGGTGTTTTTACTATTCCACCCCCATCTATATGGCGTACATGACCGATGCACTTCAGCTTTCGCAGTATCGGCGTGCAATCTATCCCATACATCCCCCTCCGTGTCAGGAATTCTGTCACGTCATCGATGCGCAGAATCCGACGCATGCATTACTAGTGAAATCGTTCCAGAAAGCCGATGTCCCTCTTATACAACGTCCAACATTCGCTGCCGTATGCCATCAATTTGGTTCCATAGCTCAGCTAATGGTTCCTCCACACCCGATTTTTTAACTTGCGAACAGCTGCACCTTCCGATCTATGGGTTGTCATCTGCAAGCCTGTTGACATTCTGCTCCCAAATTAGCAAATGTTGATGAGTTCTCCAATATTTTTCTCCAATATATTTGATTTGAGCGAGCTTTTGAACCCCATTCTTGTTGGCTGTGAAGAGACATTAGCTTACCTGTGTTAGCGGTGAATCCGAAATACGCTGCTGTCGAAGCGAGAACTGACGTCATGTGCTGCAACTCATCCTTGCTGTTTGCAAATAACAGTCGTCGGCAAACAACAACATCCGGATTCTTGTTTCCCTCACTCAGGTTCTCATTCCGAACCGACGGAGGTTCAGCAACCCACGATCGTTGCCGTCCTCGAGACGGACGCCATAACCACAGGCACTGAATGCACTTAACGTCATAACAGTTAACTAACTGGCAATCAATATTTAAAATAGCTTCACTTCACAACACAAACGACATAAAAGTTATCCGAGGTTTGTCCACCTAGTTGCACCCTCACTCACATACCACTTCAGGCATTTAACTAGGCTTGCCACCTAATTGGGCAACCTAACACCCAACACCAACCACAGTGACTTGCGGTTTATCGGGTCAAATGCTTTCGTGAAGTCGACAAACAGCGAGTACAGTGGCAGGTTTCGCTCACGGCATTTCTCCTGCGGACTTCATATCTATGGTGCTGCAGCCCGCACGGAATCCACCTCGCTCTTCATCCGCGATCCTTTAGCCACTAACGCAATTCGGAGCAAACACGCACGCAACAAAATCACTACACGATATCATAAATGCAACATACATCCGGCACCAGTCTATAGCCCCTAACCCCGGAAGGAAAGAAGACAAGACCTCAGACACGGGATCTATTAGCATGCCAACATTCATGCTTTGTTCTGGTTATTTAACGGTCTTGCTAAATCAATCACCTTGCTTGTTTGACGCGAGAATAGATAGCGTGCACCGTTTAAAAGCCATCAATAGTGTCTAAGAATGAGTCCATGGTTTTGGCTTATTATAGGGTAGTACTTGGGAATATGGTCTTTTCCCTACACCCCTCATATGCAAGATCGTATGTAGAACTCCAGAGATCCAGTTATTGGATGGCGCTTCCGGTTGGTCCATCTCGTAGGTTGCGAAGAGACCCGTTCAGGCGGTGCATTTGATGCCTCTGTCAGTGGATTAGGGATGACCTCTAATGTGTATAGCAGTATTTCTAGCGGCAATTCGTCAGTGGCTGTTGTTAGATGGCTCATGGGATACTTGTCACAAATCAATGATACGTAAAAAACGTGTCAACTACAGGACAATATAGAAGCTGGAGGCGACTGAACCTAACGTGTATTGTGCATGCTACAAAAATAGGAAGCGAATCAACAGGAGCGAGGAACGGTGTACACACATACACTGTACACGTTAGCGAGAGGTGGGAAACACCTCAACTGCTGTGCCGCAATACCTAAAAGAAAAGAAAGGAATAAAATGCTACAGGTGCAAGCCAGCTGAGCTACAGGTAACGGATGGGCATCGTTCCGGCTACTATGCAGCAAAACAAGTATTTTCCTATGCATAGTTATAAAATGTTAAATAATGAGATGGTGGTTGGAGGGGGAGGCCAAGAAATATGGGGAGGGACAAAGGAACTCACAGCACGAAGACCATTGAGGTCGGCTCTTAGCCATAGCAACAAGTGTATCCAGCCAAACTTGTTCATCGTCTTTCGGACCCCAACCAGGGAGCCGAGACGCTTCAACTGAGGTCAGCTTCTAACTGAGGGCCTTCATTCCTCTCGACCAAGTCATCGTTTGGCCACCTCTCTTCTTCCATCCATCCCCCGGTGCGCAAACAATGCACTTCGCGGAAGTCAGTGGGCTGGCATGCGTAACAGGTGGCTGAGCCATCGGAGCCTGGTGAGGAACGGTTTAGCATGTAACTCACTAAAGCAGTGTGTGAAAACGGAGGTACCGTCATTAAAAGGCGTCTTAATGGAAACAACAAACCTTTACAAAGTCTATATAACGGACCGGACGTTTGAACTATCCCCCGCGTCGATCGGTTGCCTGAGGTTGAGGCGGGGTAGGTTGTGTCAAGGGGGAACGGAGCGCTTCAAGGTACCCAGTGATCGGGAAGTCACTGCAGGTGCGGGTGTTTGTGTGAGAGCATCAGGATGGGTTGCAAGTGGTTCGTCAAAGGAACCCATTTTGAGACGGTCAATGGACGGCGTTGTTCAGTGACCATTCTGGTCTAAGGTCAAATGTCTCGGAGTTTGTTGCAGGACTCTGAAAGGGCCAGTGTAGGGAAGCTGGAGAGGGCATCGCACTGCATCGGTGCAGAGGAAAACGTGAGTGTGGGTAGAGAGTCCGCTTTGCATTTGCACATCTCTGGTCTGCTCGCGGGGCGTAGTGAACGCATGCGTTGAGCTACTGAGGACGCAAAGTTAGGCGGAGGCATACTCGACAATGCGGGTGACGAAACGCATTCTCCTGGCAACTTTATCGTTGTGCCGTAAATCAGTTCTGCTGATGCACAATGCAAATCATTTTTGATGTTGTGAATGCCTAAATGTACTGGCGAAACGTTTCCGCTTCAGTTTGGCTCGGAGGCGCAGAGCGAGCCTTTAAGCTGTCTATGGAAGCGTTCGGCTAAACCGTTGGCTGCTGGGTCATATGATGTATGAATGCGGCGGCAGCCTAAAATGTTGCAGAACGCATTTAGTTGTGAAGATTCGAAGGGCCTTCCACGGTCGGTTTTGATGGTGGATGGGCATCCGTAGTGCGAGAACCACCGATCTATAAAGGCTCGGATAACAGTCTCAGCCGTATGGTCTGTTACGGGAATGGTTTCTGGCCATCTGGTGAAGCGGTCAACCCATGTAAGAATGTATACAAATCCGCGTGAAGGAGTCAAGGGACCTACCAAGTCTAAATGTACATGCGAGACTCCGGGGCGGCAAATGAACCAAGAAGATTGTGGGCGTGACGATATATTTTAGAGCGCTGGCATTGAAGGCAGGCGCGAGGCCAGGTACGAAAATCTTTATTTACGTTTGGCCATACGAAACCTTCGGTTCTCAGTTTCAAAGATGCACGGATACCCGAATGTGATAGTGAGTGGATTGTGTCAAATACTGTGCATCTGCTTGAGATGAGCACGAGGGGTCTAGAGCAACCTGTGGAAGTGTCAAAGAAGATGGTTCCTTCCTTGGTTTGGACAGGAATAGGTTATACGTACAGCGAAGTGGACCGCAGGGTGCAATGTATGTCTTCACATTGAGCCGATGCCATGGCGGCAAGGTTGACGGTACGCAAGAACTGGAGAGTGTGGTTGACGCGTAGGAAAACGTCAACGACGGGGTTGTCGACACCTGAGATATGACGTATGTCGGCAGTGCACTACGTGACAAAGTCTACGTGTCTTGTCTCCCGGGGTGGAGGCGAGTTGAAGCCGGAGATTAGGTGCGTATGTTCAGTGTAGACCTTGAAAGTGCATGCCGGAAGTGACGAATGTCAAGGTAAATGGCCAAGAGTTTTCTGCCATACGTACTGTAGCGGGATTTCCCTGACTGCATGCGTTTGGAGAAGAACCCAAGGGGTTGCCATTGCCCATCAACGTGTTATTGGAGGACGGCTCCTACAGACATCTCAGGCATCAGACATGATAGAAAGTGGTGCAGCCGATTCGGAGTGAGCGAAAAGAGCTATGTTGAAGATAGCATCCTTGAGCTCGACGAAGGCTGTCTGTGCTGTGTCAGGGAAAGCGAACTTACGTTCATTCCCTCTAAGTATGTCGATCAGAGGCTGCATGAGCTGAGTGCAGCGT